GTGGTTGCTTCCAGTAGGGGTCTTCAAAGTCACAAGCATTTCTCACGCCCAGCCCGAGCTTATTTAGAGAATAGTGCCCCTGCATTCTGCCCTTAACCATAGACTAAAGTGCGTGTCCCGGGCCGCGATCCTCGCTGGAAGACCCCAATCCAGGAGAACCGGGGTCTTTTTGGAGGATGATGGGTGGTATTCGCTTCCGTGGAATCTCTTTTGTCGTATGAGATATAAGAGGTTTGCACTCTTTCTGAGGCTGGCTGGCAAAAAGCGAGCCGTTTTAGTGTCATCCAGGGCGCAAGGTTCTCAGTGAAAGCTACAGGGGCATGTCCTCATGTCATGCCATAACCCAGGTTTGACGGAGACGGTGGTGAAGTTTTCAGGAGGGTCTCACGCACGAGCAGTCCGCTCCTGCCTGCACCACGGCTCCTTCAAATAAACATTTCCAACTTTCCCTTCTTTCCTCGAAACCCACGGCTCTCAGGAAGGGAGGGAGGGAGGGAGGGAGGGAGGGAGGGAGGGAAACATCAATGATGAGAGAGAATCATTGATAGGCTGCCTCTTGCAGGCCGCCTACTAGGATCAAGCCCACAAAACCAGGTATGTGCCCTGATTGAACCAAGACCTTCTGGTTCATAGGTCCATGCTCAACCACTGAGCAACACTGGCCAGGCTACCTCTCTTTTTTTAAAAAAAAAAAAACTAGGATATTTAAGCAAACCCCAGCATTTTATTAGTGGTGATTTTGGCTTAGTTACAGTGATTTAGGGATGCCCAAGGGCCAGTAATGCTAAACATCCTTCACTACAGTTCCTTACAACTAGGAGCTGTCTGGCCCAACAAAGTGCCAGTGCCATTAACTCCAATGCCATTAACACCCCCGTGAAGAAACAGTGGACTAGATTAAAGGGAAGATTCACTTCTGAAACTTTACAGTTGTAGAACTACTAAGTGAACTATACTCTACTAATCCTATAGCAGATACCATATTCTAAAAGAAGACATAGTTGAGAGTAAATAACAGCACCAACAAATTGTTATTTCAATGACAGAAATCCAAATTCAATGATTAGACCGGATCCAATCTCAGTCAGCCTTCCTTTGTTGCCGTCAGATCCCCCGATTCCCAAACTTCTCAAACCCCCTTTTCTACCAGAGCTCCTTCATCCTCTGATAAGGGGATAGCCAACCACCATCCATCCCCAATCTCTATAGTGTGATTTTGATCAGGCAGAAGGATTTTAAAAGTTCCACCCACCAGTTTGGGATTTAGCATCAGGGCACTCTAGCTGCTCCTATGTCCTGACCTTGCATTCCAGTCTGGGAACTGAGTTTCTGGTCTTGTAAAACCCAAATTCCTACTTTACACACTAGTAGTGGTCACTGGATCCTTGTTGGACTATTGGTCATAACATTCCTGAACCCCAGTTCTCCAGGGCTGCCCTGTCTTCTGATAATGCCTAAATCTACCACCTTCAATGGATAAAAATTTCTAAATTGTATAATAAGGAACTAATAAATGCACTGCATTCCCAAATATTACTTGGATACTCCACATCCCCACACTCACCCATCTGCCGGCAGGGCCCCAGCATTTCTCCTAGGCCTCCCAATTCCACTGGCCTGGTCTACCAGTTGTAACCCAAGAAGGACGAATGGCCTGCCCAAGGCCACACACTAACCCAGTGGCAAACGCAGACAGTGTATGTGAAAAGACAGGTGTGTGGTAGGAGAATCTACCCCAAACTGCAAGCCCCCAACTGCAAACCAATGAGCTTGCTTTCTTTGTATTGACAATGGGATTCTAAAGCTTTCCAAATATTTAATATTTTAAAGATACACTTAATTCTTAAGCATAGGAGAATTCAAATAGGGAAATCTTATAAAATACAAAGCCTATAAATCTTCCAGAAAGGACCAATTCATCCGATTTACATAACGGAGCTCAAGTAATTTTTGTTAAGGCCTTAGATGCTTTCTGTACATTCTCCATTTGGAGCTTCAGGGAAATGGCAGATCACAGGCTGCGTCCCGTAGGTGTCACTCCCCTGTCACTGGGCAGACTCGGGTGTCCCTGTTCTCCCTCACCAAACTATTTTCAGTGTCAGAGAAGACTCTTCCCAGAAAACTGAGCACTGTTCTTTGTTCAAGGACACACAATTAGATCTGTTTCTATAAGAAAAATGCAAAATAAGCCTTCTCGCTTTATCTGTTAGGAACATGAATCAGCAGTCTCTAGGGGATTCTCATCTGAAAATTACATCTCTAAGTTTCCTTTTTCCGCTAAGATCTAATGACAAACATTTGTCTAAATCCACTGATTCTTTACCACAATCATTTTAAACACAAAAAGGAGGGGAGTAATTACTGCTCCCTCAGTGGATCCTGATAGGCCACTCCTACAAAGCCCGCCTCTGGTTCTCACAGCTAGGCCACTGCCTGCTTCACCTTAATGAGAAAAGCTGAAGATAACAATAAGCAAACCACCAGGCTTCAACTTGGGAAGAGTGAAGGGATTTAACTACAAAGACGGAGACTGCTTTTGTGGCTGACAAATACAAGAGGTGTAAGGTACAAAAATAGAAAACTATATATTTCTACTTTAAAATATGGAAAGGGGGAGGAAACACAAAAGTGCTAAAACTTAAATTGGTTGGATAAATAATTTTTGTAAGGATAGACAAATAAAAAAACCTTGAATTAAGTTTTAAAACTCCCATGAAATTCAGGGAGCTTTTGCTGCATAGATGTGGCCTATGCTTGTAGTGGCTTTTATTACCCCCGTTGCAGTGCATTTATTAGTTCCTTATTATATAATTTAGAAATAAATTCAACATAAAAAAATAGCCAATGCTTATTATCCTAATATATAGAAAGCCAGGGGCCGTCACAACCGAAACAACCGGACAGATGACCAAACAGCAGGTTGCGTGGGGCAACCAGGCAGTTGGGGGCAACCAGGCCGACGGGGGAGGGGGGGCCAGTTAGGGGCGACCAGGCCAACAGAGGGGGACAGTAAAGGGCGACCAGGTCAGCAGGGGAGCAGTTAGGGGCAATCAGGCCGGCAGGGAGAGGCGGTTAGGGGTGATTAGGCTGGCGGGGGGGGGGGGGGGGGGGGGCAGTTAAAGGCGATCAGGCAGGTAAGCAGTTAGGAGCCAGTGGTCCCAGATTGTGAGAGAGATGTCCTGGATTGGAGAGGGTGCAGGCTGGGCTGAGGGGACCCCCCCCGCCCCCGCGCACGAATTTCGTGCACCGGGCCTCTAGTTATTACATAACAGTGACAGAGACATTCTTTTGCTGGAAAGACTTACCAAATTTACCAAGTTATATTTCACCACCCACCTGATTACTGAATCTATTAAAATAATATTCAGTTGGCCCTTTTAATAAAATTTACATTCAGCAGAGGCCTATACTTATCTCTTATGTTTCTAAGATTCCAAAAACCCAGAAAGCAGCCTTCTAAGGTCTGAGGAAGAGATATGACCCCAGGAAAACTTTTAAAATAACTGATTTTCTAAGATTCCAGACTTGGAAAAAAAGTTAATTTAATTTTATTAACTTTATTTATTTATTATTTTTTTTTTGGTGGAGATGCTGGGGATCAAAAAAGTTAATTTTAAATGAGAAAGAAAAGCATCAATAAAGGAAGCCTGACTAGTTTGAGTGGAAGCAAAGTTTTTCAAAGCATGTATATAGGCCTTTTTAAAGAAATAATCAACTATTAATTAAAACTCCAAAAAAAGCCACAAAATAATTTACCCCAGCTTTGGGTGAAAGATGTCCCTCAAATGTCCCATAACCCATAGATCTCAAAGCTAAAATCAGATAGGGGCTAGAGTTTCATTCTCCAAGGACTTAGTGACCTAGGTCATTAATTAGCCATGAAGCTGTGCCAGACCTCATGTTATTCTCCTACCAGATAAAGTCAACAAATTCCTCTTCAACTTTTCTAGGGTACTCTAAATACTTTTTTTAAAAAATATGCCTTTATTGACTTTTAGAGACGAAGTGAGAGGCACAAAGAAATAGAAACATCGATGAGAGAGAAACATCATCAACTGGCTGCCTTCTGCACGGCCACCTACTGGGGATCAAGCCTGCAACCTGGGCATGTGCCCTGACCAGGAATCAAACCAGTGACCTGTTAGTTCAGCGGTTCTCAACCTGTGGGTCGCGACCCCTTTGGGGGTCGAACGACCCTTTCACAGGGGTCGCCTAAGACCATTGGAAAACACATATATAATTACATATTGTTTTTGTGATTCATCACTATGTTTTAATTATGTTCAATTTGTAACAATGAAAATACATCCTGCATATCAGATATTTACATTACGATTCATAACAGTAGCAAAATTACAGTTATGAGGTAGCAACGAAAATAATTTTATGGTTGGGGGTCACCACAACATGAGGAACTGTATTAAAGGGTTGCGGTATTAGGAAGGTTGAGAACCACTGTGTTAGTTCATGGGTCAATGCTCAACCAGTGAGCAATACTGACCAGGCTCCAAATACTTTTAATCTGACAAAGACTAACGATCCTCCACCCCCAAAATATCAGCTCATGAAACAGACTTCTTTGAACTGAGAAAAATGTAACAGCTTCAAAGGAAAGTAAATGTAATTTGTACTCCTCTATGAAATTCTCTATGATTTCTTTGAAAGAATTCTGGTTTTCTAGTAAAGAAAGAAACTCTAAGTGCAATATCTGTTCTTACCATAACAGCTATGTCACCACCTGACACAGGATAACTGTAGCGATTTTATCCACTAAAAATGTAAATAATAAAAACAACTTCCAGGTTATTGCTAGTCTCATAAAAATGGATGATGTACTGCAAGATCACAGCTCAAACCCCCCAAAGCACAAAGGGAACACAGCTTTCCCCCCCATACCTTTCTCCTCAACATTCCATCCATAGTTCCGAGAGTCTCGCACGGCTTGTCCTAACAAAGCTGCTTGGTGCATCAGCTTCTTCGGTATGCATCCCACATTCACACATGTTCCTCCGAGACCTGCAACAACATTGAGAAATCAGTTCACAACCTGCTTTACAATCCTTCAAAGAAAAAGATCCACAATTATTACTAGTCTATGAACCACAGTTTATTTGCTTAATGTAGCCAATACTGTTTAGACAAGTTTATCCCTAAGTCTTGTGATATTTCTAAGTTCAGATAGCCTTATATACCAAACACAGACATCAGAAAACACAAAAATGAGCAAATGTCCACATACTGCAAAGATTCAAAATTAATTGCCTGCTGATAAAGATGCCAGAAATTGAAATTTTACTTTGTGCACAACCCATACTTGCCATTGAATCTATGAGCAGAACTACCTGATAAAGGGGTTGTGAAACTGAGTATAATTGAACTGTAGTGGGCCTGGAACTACATATAAAATATGGTGTATATGAGCATTTTATAAACTGTATTTTTATTACTATTTTATTATTAAGGAATCCATCTCTATGACTATCATGAAGCCCAGGCTGGGTTAACAGTGACATATTCTGGAAGTAACTATACCCCACTCTCGACTTCCTAGTTCTAACCACTATCTTCTCTTTCTACCTCCAATGAAAACCCAGACTCCTAAGGCCTCAATACTTGCCCTCCTATTCCTAAAAGATGCCCAAACCAACTATGTGAGAGGCTTTTTCAAAGGAGAAGACGACTTAGTCCTCCCAGAAGACAAATCCTCTACTTTACTTTATGAGGCAGATAGCAACTCCAAACCACAGTCAGGTTAGGACCTGCGCAGGCCTCAATATATGAGCATGTTTTAAAGAAGAGATGGTGTGGTCTTTAGCTTTTGCTGATTCTCACAAAAGAATTCATAAAAATAAAAAAAAAGATTAGCATGTTTGAGCTTAAAACATGGTGATAGCTGTCTCCATGAGAGTAAAATGTAGGCAGGTGGGGAGATGAACAAAATGGTATAATTTAGCTTTAAATCATCATAAAAGTTGTGGATAAAGTTTTGTATGATCTCAACTTCCAGGAACCTAAATTTTCAACATTTAACTGGATTCCATTTTAACATAGCATAAGTAAAAGAGGTACATGTTTTGGGGTTTGTTTTGTTTAATTGATTTGAGAGGAAGGGAGAGAGAAAAACATCAATGTGAGAGAAAAATATGGATTAGTTGCCTCCCACACACTCTGACCAGGGACTGAACCCACAATCTGAGTATGTGCCCTGACCAGGAATTGAACACTCCACCTTATGGTGTACAGGATGGATGATGCTCCAACAAACAGCCACACCAGCCAGGGCTGGTTATTTGTTTAATTTTTAATTTTATAATTGGATTTTAGGAGCCATTTAAACCAATACCAAGGAAAAACCTGCTCCTGCAAATATTCACTTCTAAAATATTTTAAAAACTTACCCCATTTAGTTCCAAGAGGAGTTGGAGTGACAAAATCCAGGACCATCACCTTCTTGTTATATTTGGCTGCCTCCTAGAAAATAAAATTATTAAAATGAGTTAAAAAAGTGATTTTATCCATTAAAAATGTAAATAATAAAAACAACTTCCAGGTTATTGCTAGTCTCATAAAAATGGATGATGTACTGCAAGATCACAGCTCAAACCCCCCAAAGCACAAAGGGAACACAGCTCCCCCCCCTATACCTTAACATGTCCATTTCCAGACAGACTGGAAATGGGATGTTAAAAAATCCATGCTATTTTTATTAGGCTACAATGCCTAAAGCAACACCAGTTATTAATACCTGGGAATCTCATATACCAAAATTAGTGCTAGTTCAAGAAAAAAATTAAGCAATATTTAGATAATCCTTTAAGTGGCTTTAAGAACACACAAATTAGTTATAAAATTGTCCATCAGCTGGAAATCTTAGCATCCTCTTACATAATTCCACTCAAACAGTAACAAATTAAGAGATAACCTGAAAAACATATGACCATTTCAAAGCAAGTGCTAAGTAGCCAGTAAAACAGGCTTACTGATAATCTATAACCCTTGATCCAGCCTATATCTTATAATCTTTTTTAAAGTACTTTTAAGTTTTGTTTCTAGGCAGAATATTGGAGAAGTTTTTCCTTTAAAATTGTCAGATTTACTAATGTGAGGAGCCAATGAAAAAGTTGATATCTATAAGATTTCCCAATCTATTTTAGGGGAGTGATGACAGTCAAAAGTTCATTTTAAAGAGCATCCTTTACCTTTCTCAGAGAATAAGCTTTGTGTATTGGCAACTAGACCTCCAAGGGTTATTTGAAAATACTGAGTCTATGTGTCCTCCAAAACCACCATCACACCAGTAAAATACATATACACAGTACTAGGCCTTAGTCATTTATAGCAAAGCACTACTTAATACCAGGTATTGGCCTATTCCGATATTGGGCAGCTTCCTTTGAATCTACCTTTACTGATTCACCACAAGGAGTATAAGCACCTCATCTTTTAAAAGAACCTCTTCAGCAAGAATGACAGTTCCAAGGGTCCCTTCACACATGGCAAATGAATCTCAACTCAGGGCTAGGAGCCTCACTCCGACCTCTCTTATTTGAAATCCTCTACCGGCCACTCCCAGGCAAGTGTTAGTGGTTTTTCTCTTAGCTCACAGTATATACACAAGAGGCAAATCATTTTTACTGAGTTTAAGAAATCTAACCACTCTCCATCTTTCTATTGTGGAGGAGGAGTTGTGAATAGGAACATCAAAGTGAAAAATAATAAATATTTATTAAGAATAAGATATATATTTAATTTCAAACCATTTCCACACAACACCCTTATTACCTTTGAAAAATTAACCAAACTTAAAATGAATAAAAATGCATCCTAACAATACTAAGTCCAGTACTTTTATGTAAAGAACATATCGTTCAGCCCGGTCAGCATGGCTCAGTGGTTGAGCATCGACCTATGAACCAGGAGGTCACAATTCAATTCCTGGTCAGCGCACATGCCAGTGTTGTGGGCTTGATCATCAGTGGGGTGTGTGTGTGTGTGTGTCTGTGTGTGTGCAGGAGACAGCCGATCAATGATTCTCTGTCATCATTGCTGTCTCTATTTCTCTCTCTCTCCCCCTCTCCCTTCCTCACTCTGAAATCAATACAAGTATCTTTTAAAAAAAATAAAGAACATTTAGTTCAAGCTGGAAAAATGACTTATAAAGTGGTCCCCTTAACATGTCCTACCCAAGTTAATGTGCAAAATGTCACAAAAGTGGCCCAAATTCCACAGAGAATCTGGAGAACTGTTGTAACCCACATAACACATAAAAAGACTTGCCTTAGCAGCTGCCAGTCCTCCTGAGCCCCCTCCGATGATGATGAGATCATAGTCGTAGGTCCCGGGAAGATCCTCAGAGCCATTCATTTTTAGTAGCTTTTGAAGACTGCCCTCTTGATAAGCCTAAAGAACAAAAACAATGAAAGGGAAAATAATTTAACTTATAAGCAGCAATGCCTGAAGAGCTGTGTGAAAAACCTTTCTTTAAAGAAAAGCAAAAGGAGTTTTTCAAAGAAAAAATGTTGTTTCATTTATATTACAGCACACAAATGAAACATTCAATCTTCTCACATCACAGATAGCTACTCGAAGTGTCACATAAGTAAGGTGCTGATGGCCCAACAAAATCAATTTAAGCCTAAATTAAATTTGAGCCGTCCTTTTATCCTAAATTTTTTTTTTTTAATATTGAAGAAGCAACTCAGGATTGTTCTTTTTTTAAAAATATATTTTTATTGATTTCAGAGAGGGCAAGAAAGAGACAGAAACATCAACGATGAGAATCATTAATTGGCTGCCTCCTGCACGCCCCCCCACTGGGGACCGAACCCACAACTTGGGCATGTGCCCTTGACCAGAATCGAACCTGGGACCCTTCAGTCCACAGGCCGGTGCTCTATCCACTAAGCCTGTGGTCGGCAAACTGCGGCTCGCGAACCACATGCGGTTCTTTGGCCCCTTGAGTGTGGCTCTTCCTAAGCCTTAGGAGTACCCTAATTAAGTTAATAACAATGTACCTACCTATATAGTTTAAGTTTAAAAAATTTGGCTCTCAAAAGAAATTTCAATCGTTGTACTGTTGATATTTGGCTCTGTTGACTAATGAGTTTGCCGACCACTGCACTAAGCCAAACCAGCTAGGGCATATCCCAGAATTTTTAAACTAGATTTTAAATTAGGTTTTTAAACACTTGTACTGTATGTTTTTAATAGAATCATCAATACAATTTGTCAATCATCTTTATTTTCAAGTCAAAGGTACAATAATGTGTGGGCTAGGGTCTCAGATGAAGATAGTGGCCTGGTGACTAGCCATTGAAACAGATTAGCCAAATACTTAAGACTTTTCTATATTGTTTAGGTAAGGCATAAAATCTAGAAATTCAGAAATAAATCATCAATTGACATAAATAGAAGTCCCTAATTCTGCAGGGCATTTTGAATGAAAAAGGAGGGGTGGGGGTAAAGAAATAAAAATACACAACTCTATAAAGCTCATTTATTTAATCTACCTATACATGAAGCCTCCTGTATTGTATTTGGTATTTGGATTCCATATACTTGGCACATAACAGTCTTTATAATATAACTGTTGGACTTTTAATTTTTTTATATATATACTTTACTGATTTTTTTACAGAGAGGAAGGGAGAGGGATAGAGAGTTAGAAACATCCATGAGAGAGAAACATCCATCAGCTGCCTCCTGCACACCCCCTACTGGGGATGTGCCCGCAACCAAGGTACATGCCCTTGACCGGAATCGAACCTGGGACTCTTCAGTCCACAGGCCCACGCTCTAGCCCAGCCGTGGGCAAACTACGGCCCGCGGGCCGGATCCGGCCCGTTTGAAATGAATAAAACTAAAAAAAACTAAAAAAAAAAAAAAAAAGACCGTACCCTTTTATGTAATGATGTTTACTTTGAATTTATATTAGTTCACACAAACACTCCAGCCATGCTTTTGTTCCGGCCCTCCGGTCCAGTTTAAGAACCCATTGTGGCCCTCGAGTCAAAAAGTTTGCCCACCCCTGCCTAGCCACTGAGCCAAACTGGTCAGGTCTGGACTTTTAATTTAAAAAATTTCATTCCCCTGGTTTTTATACACATTACTTACCATTTCACATTAGCTTTAAATACAGTTTTGGTGATATACTTAATATTGCCGTTCATTAAAATAAAAATCTGTGCTAATATGGGATAATAACTGGAAAAGTTAATAAGCATAATAAAAAATGTTTTTTAAAAATCAAGTTTTAACCTTAATACAAAAAAAGCCCCCAAACTTACCAGCCTAGACTTTACATTTTTCTCCTGCCTACCTCAGATGTTGAGGGTGAAAGGCTGAGCTTGGGGTCAGTAGAACAGGATGCTTGGGATGTGGAAGGGGGTGCAATAGAGGAAGGTGGTGGTGATGGCGGAGGAAGAGGAGGAGGAGGGGGAGGCGCAGCACTGTGGCTGCCCCTTGGCAGCATAGCAGGTACACATGATGGCCCAGGGATGCAAGGCAGAACACCTGGAAACCAGCAACAGTGGGGACAAGTCTGCATCACCCTGACGGTCTGTACAAAAGGTCTAACATGAGAGGCTGGTAAACACAGCCAGTATTCATCAACTGGCATTATGGCAGAGGCTCCTCCTTCAACACAAGGCACTGTGGGGGGAAAAACAATTTGGTAACAATAGCCATTCAGATCAAAGGACCAATATAATCTTCAGATAACAAGCATTACTCTCTAGTTCAGTGGTTCTCAACCTTCCTAATGCCGCGACCCTTTAATACAGTTCCTCTTGTTGTGGTGACCCCCAATTTCATTGTTACAAATTGAACATAATTAAAGCATAGTGATTAATCACAAAAACAATATGTAATTATATATGTGTTTTCCGATGGTCTTAGGCGACCCCTGTGAAAGGGTCGTTCGAGCCCCAAAAGGGTCTCGACCCATAGGTTGAGAACCGCTGCTCTAGTTGATATCACAGAGCATAGAGCTAGAAAAAAAATTTTTTTTTAAAGAACATAAAGCTGACTTGCTGGCCTGAAAGAATTAATAAATGCACTTAGATGTTCTTCTGGAAAATAACCATTTTGAATCTCAGCCCCATTTTATCTGCATCTACTTGACACAAATGATGCCAGAACACAATCACTGGCTGCCTAAAAGAAAACCACCCATTCTTGCAACCACCTCCCCCAACATAGCTACTAGAGCAAGAGAAAAAAAAAAAAAGGCAGCATTGTCATGCCACATACTCCCTCCAACAATGTTTATAATCTGTTCTGTGCTGAAATTCTGTATCAGACCTGGGTTCTTATGGTCCAAGGTTAAAGTCAAATTATATCGACCAGTGCACAGACTTTACAAAGCAAGCTCTGAGAGAGCCTGACATTTTTAACTGTGTAAAATCAGAAAGACAGGCACCTGAAGCATTCAGCTGACTCCAGAACTAAACATGATGTCTTCAAATTTTAATCTAAATTAAAAGTGACACTACTGTAATTCAGCTCCAGATAAGTGGTTTCCCATCTGAAATATAAATAAGAGAGACAGTAGAAGACAGCTCCGCCAGGCAATGTAAGAAAGGAGCATACAGATGGGGTAAGCAGACTAGAGAAAAATGTTCCTTCCTTTCACCTTCAATTACAACTACTAGAAATAGTGGCTGCTAATTATAGTAGCTGATACAGAAGAGTTCTCAAAGTTTTTAGTCTCAGAATCCCTTTACAATTTAAAATTTTTAGGACCCCAAAGAGCTTTGATTAATGGGGTTTATTTATAATATTTATCATATTAAAACTAAGAAAAGATTTAAAATATTGTAAGTCATTAAATATCTTAATATTTAATTAAACATAATTTATTTAAAACATTTTTAATTGGCAAGAAGAGTGGCATTGTTTTATATCTTGGTAATTCTCTTTAATGTCTCTCTTAATAAAAGGCAGCCCATATCTTTTCTGCGTTCACTCTGTTGTAACATCACTTGTCATGCATGTAGCCTCTGGAAAACTCTATGGTAGACTTGCAAGAAAATTAGAGTGAAAGGGACAAACAGCATCTTAGTATTACTAAGATATTTTTTACCTCAAGGACTTCCTGAAAGAGCCTCAGGGGCCCCTATAGGAATTCAGACCTCACTGAGAACCATGCTATCCTATATAATAAAAGCCTAATATGCAAATTGTCCCCTTGAGAGTTCAACTGGGAGTTCGACAGCTCACTATGACGTGCGCTGACCACCAGGGGGCAGCACAAACATGGCAGGCATCGGTGATGCAGCACTGGCAGCGGGCAGCAGTGGAGGCACTGCCAGCCCCAATGGGCCCTGATGAGAGTGGGACTGTGGCAGGATGGTGGAGCAGATGAGCGGGCAGCGCCAGGCCAAGGTGCATGCGAACGGAGGCCCAATCACCCCGCTGATTGCCCCCAGACGGGACGGGGGCCGCTGCCCGGCTCCCAGGTGCTGAGGGAGCCGGGTGGGGGACGCGGCCCCAATCAATCGCCCCGCAGGTGGGATGGTGGAGCAGGTGAGGGGGTGGTGCCAGCCAGGCCAAGGCAGTGTGCCAGGCGTGGCCACGGAGCTGAGGGGCTGGGGGCGTGAGCTGGGGCTACGAGCCTAGGGGCGTGAGCTGGGGCCCGATCCCTGCAGGCCACCCCAAGGGGCCCCACCCATGCAGGAATTCGTGCACCAGGCCTCTAGTAGGACATAAGTGTAAATACACAACACCCCACCTGCAGGTGTTTGCCGGGCTTACATATTAGCTATTCTTTCCTCTCTTCCATCTGCCTCTCAGTAATGTCTTTCCCCCACCCCAGTAAAACACTGCTCCAGATTCCCCTTAAAAAGGCCAAAAGCAATTCAAATGTGCAAAAACAATGCCAAAAACAATTCAAGTGTGCAAAAATAATACCGAAAGCAACTCAAGTGTGCAAAAATAATACTGAAAGCAACTCAAGTGTGCAGAAACAATATTTTAGCCCAGAGAAACCAATTTTGGACTTCCAAACTCCAGAACTATAAAACATAATTGGTTTTAAACCACTAAATGGTAATCTGTTATAGAAGCAATTGGAAACTAATACACCCAGTAAAATATAAATTCCATGAGAGTTGGGTCATATTCTGTCCACCACTTTTTCCCTTGTGCCTAGAGCAGTGCCTGGCCACAGTGGGCACTCAAGTAGTTGTTACGTAAATCAACAAAGCACCAATTCCAATTGCTTGGTAACTGATTTCCTAAAACAAATGAAGTCATATCTAAACTTAAAGTGAATAAACCATGACAGAGATGGTCACCATCGAAGGAGGTGGCAGCATGGATTTTCTAACCCTGATCTAGAGAACGAGGCACCAATATGAGTGCTCACGATGAGCAAGCGATATGGTGTTACAGGAGGTGGGGTGGGGTAGGTGTATGTGTGTGTGTGCACGCGTGCACACTGTACGTACATGTATTACCATTTAATTCTCACAATAGTCTTCCAAGCAGATGTCTTTCCCATTTCAGAAATGACAATATAAAAGCACTTAGAGATTAAGAGCCTTGCCCATGAACTAAGAATGGAACTCAAGTCTGTATGATTACAAATCTCTTCCTTTTCACACTATACCATACCCAATCGTTCATATTTTAAAGTACCTGTCGCATACATTTTCTAATTTTATCCTTACTGTAAACTTGAGATAGGTATTATTTTCACTTAGTAAAAAAAAAAATAAATAAATACAAAAAGACCCTAAGGTTTACAGGTTCAATAATTTGCCCAAAGGCTCTACTAGAATATTAGAGGGTCAGGACCTAATTGGTCCTTTGAACAGAAAGTGGTTGTTATATAAGAAAGTTCTAGTAAAAAAAAATTTTTTGCCATAATATTCTCCTATGTTCAGTTGATTTTATTGAAATCTGAAATTTGAGCCACTCTAACTATATTAGTGGGAAACCCACAAGATTTGCAATTTGGTGGATACCTAAGTCTCTATAATTAAATTACCTATTGGTCAATTCACCTTTTTCTTCAAGGTAAGCAAGCAGTCATTTTAATTTCAAAGTGATAAGGCAACCCAGGTATCATGACAACCAGTAAAAACAAAACAAGTGGTTAATTTTATTTATATTTTAACAGCTATAACTGTAGAAAGACCCCAAACCTTCACATTCTCTATTATTGCTTTTAGTCATCACTAAGTCTCAAATACTCCTGGTAAATACACTAGGCATTTAACAGAGCAATCTGGTGGCAAGTAAAGAACTGAGGCAAGATTTTTTTCTTTTTTTTGCTATCATTTTAAGAGTATCTTTTCCTCAAACAGCAAGTCTCTGGAAATCAAGGAACTCAATTGGTAGAAAGAAACAGGCTAAAGTGAAGATCAGTGAGACCAAAAGATGCTTTCCTGACTGCTAAATAAAAGGGTGATAGACAACCAGGAAGGGTCAGCATTCCTTCAAAATTTTGTGTGAGAACTTATCTGTCTACATTATGAACTGTGGGGGAGGTCAAGGGTCATGACATGCAGAACCTTCACTCAAACTGACTGGGAAATCTAAGGGTTAATTTGTTAGGAAAATAATTGGCCAAGTTTCATAAGAAATTTCTATTTTTGCTTAAAAAAACCCTTTAATATTACACAAAAACCTCTCCTCTCAATCTTGATGTCATTCATTTAGTCTTTGGATTTCCCCTCTCCATACCACACTAGACTTAATAGGAAAATTCATCATTATTGCTATGCAAAATATGTATCCATCTGCCAAATAATGTTTAATGGCAAAATCCACCAGTACCAAAGATTAAATTCCTATAGGGATCAAGAAAAGAAGCTTATAGGCATGCTCACTGCACCTTTAAAACTGCTTTCTTACAAACCCAAATTTTCGGAAATAACCTCCAAATAAGGCATTAGTTTATGTTTTAGAAAGAAAAAGGAGCATTTATGGCTTTATGAATAAATTAATCAATTATTTCAGTTGAAACAGGGGCAGTTCTAGGCATTGAAAGCCCTATTAAGAAATGCACAATTGAATTGAGAACAGATATTCAAGGCTGTTGTTACATAATGAAACATCACTGAAGGACACACGGTGTACTAGCAGAAATTACAAAGAAAAACTAGGAGTCAAAGAAGAAATTAACCAAGCAGATAAAGACTAGAACTAGATGTTAAAAGATTTTGTTTGAAATAATCTAACAAAAGTATCTTCTACCTCTGAGAATACTAACAGAAAAGGTAATTCATTTTTGCCCAATTTAACATTCAACTGGAATAAAGATCTTATGGTTTTCTAATGCCATAAACCTCTCACAATTCCCTATATTTGCCTCCATGTCCAGTATACCGTTCCTATCTGTGACCAATTCCTACTCACGTTTCAGCACTTAGTCGACACCTCATCTACTACAGTAGATACTATATTTCTTTTGAACTAATCACAGGAGAATTATTTAGAATGTGGATACCCACTAATTAATCTTACTGAGTCTTCCTAGCAATGAAGCAAACCACCTGTGTGTGTGTGTGTGTGTGTGTGTGTGTGTGTTAACATTGCACATTCACTGCCCTATAGATAGTCTTTCTTTAATTTAGCATTTTTTTTACCCACTCTTTCCCCAACCTGATTAGGAATCCCATATGGGATTCTCTTTATTCCCTGTAACAGAGGAATACAGTATCACAGAGGATAACTGATACTTTTTTTTGCAAATTATAACATACCTTTTAATTTATGAAATTTGGAACTGAATTTTATTAATAAAGTCTTAAAGGACATTCAAAAAAATTTCCATGAACATGCCAGTGATTGTTTTTAAATAACAGATCATGACAACTTTATAAACTACCAGGAAAAATACACTGCACAGTAAGACAATTTCTGATGTTCTTGAAAATATTTTCTCACTTTACAAGAGATACAATATGGGCTTCTATTTAGGTTTTACACTCTATTTTGAGATGATACTTTAGAAAAGCCACGAAATGCACCCTATACTAAGAACAAAAATGTTTAGTAAGAGCTTTTAATCATAGCCTCTGAAATTTCAAAAGTCGCCACAATATTTTTCCAGTCCTGTAAACTCAAAGATATAACTCCTTGTTTCCTGCCATGGGAACTGGGATCATTTTCCTCACCCACTTGGTTAACATTAATGGGCTCTAATATTGGCAACCTGTCTTGATCAAGCCTTATTCTTGCAAAACCATCCCTTATAATGAAAGAAACATAGAATATATTCTCCACAGTACGAGAAAAAGAATTTGGATCAATCACAAACTCAAAATAGGATACGGGAGTGTCAGGATACTTTCGAAAATACGTTTGCAACAACCCTAAGATTCTTTCTACTTCTTTTTCTGTCCCTTCTTGATTGCTACTCAGGTCCAGCCTCCTCAGCTTTGTAGGCATATCCACGTTTTCCTCCACCCTGGGAGCTTTTTTATAGTGTCCAGGTCGCCGCTTCGGTGCAGAAGACTCTGACTTGAATGAACCAAAAAGAAAGTGGAATGTTTCAGCTTGCGATATCCAGGATGTTGCTTCCTTATGTACTGTCTCCCAGAAGGAAAGAACTATGTTATCATCACAACCATTCAACGCATCATGTTCATCATCTTCCATCCAGTTCAGACCCACAAAAATAAACAGAAAATCACAAAATGCTACTTGATTAAAAAAGCTCATATCAGAGTTCAGCTGCTTTGCTTTTTCTTTACCCAAATCAGAAGCCAAAACAAGAAACTGGGCATCGAGAGCTGCTTCCCTTGTTCGGCTCACTCCATCAAACAGGACATTGGCTTCCTCCAGAGCCTCAGTTAATGAGTCGCTCGCCGTGTTCACGATGTCTTCCCGGTTCTGCTGGACGTTATAGATGAGCTGCCGGTACTGCCTGCGGATATTCCGGCATTTCTCCTCGTCAGCCACAAGCAATAGGAGATTTGGATCTATGTGGGCTGCCGCACAGCTGAGGTCGTCAGAGCAGTCCTCGGAGCAGCTGTCAGAGAAGCCGTCAGCCCCCATCGCCACTTCCAGCTTCAGGGGGTCCACCTCCTCGGCCTGCTTCAGAGAGAACGCACTGCCGGGGATGGCACTGCTGGGGATGGCACGCACCACTGGCTCCTCTCCTTTCTCTTCGTCTCCCCGCAGGGAATCTTTTTCATCAGACATGTCGGTGACAGTGGAGCTCAGGTAGCGCTCTGCTCGGGGCCTTCGCGATGTTTCTCACCGACAACGGCCGGCGGCGTCAGGCAGAGCTGAGAAGACGTCCGCCCATGCGCAGGGCTGGCGTCGCAGGAGGCCCCGCCCAAGCTCCCCCGCCTCCCGACAGCCCGCCCCGCGGAGCCCAGGCGCAGGGCCCTGCAGAAAGCCCACCTCGCGGAAGGCGGCGCATGCACGGGACCGCGCCGGCGCACAGAACACGACGCAACAATGGGTCCCAACCCCACACTGAACACCCGTGTAGGCGATAGGTATTGTTTTACCATTTACTGACAGTGTCATTTAGCTTTCTGAGAAACACCTGGATGTTTGACAAAACTGTGGGGAAACTCAAGGTCCTGCGCTTTAGATTGCTGCCACATATTGCAGTTTGGTCGACCTTGGTTTTTCATTGTTACTATGATTATTCTTTCATTTTTTGAGAACTAAATCTGTCTAGATTATAAACTGCCCATGCCCGTAAGGCCAAGGAGCAAGACTGCAAAACCCTATTACAAGTAGGCCTAACTCCAAGGGCTCATTTGCAAGATGGCTGTTTGTAACTCAATTCTTTATTATACAAATGTAAATTGAGTCAATTACTGTGGTGGGCCCTCTTAAGCCCTCCAAAGCCCAACCCCCTCCAACCTACCTCGGGATGGGGAGGGGGCGGAGGGGGAGGGAGTGGTCACTTGTGTTCGAATTTCAGCGCCAGAGCAAGCTCGAAGATGGGGAGAGGGGTATTACTCAAGTGATCTTCGGTTCTCCACAAACCAAGGGTGGGAGAATAAAGTGGGTACAGTCTCTGCAAGAGCTATTTATTGAAAGCTTGCCAAAGGCTAAAGGCCACAGACTGAATGGATAGTAAATCTGAATCCTAAAAGGTGAGCAAAGCCATGAAGATTTTAAACACAATCTGTTATAAGGATATGCAAGTGAATGCTGTAAATCGGGTGACTAATCTAAATTGGAAAATTCACACACTAGTTCACTGGAAATTCTAGTACAGTTGGAGAAAGGGCTCAGCTCAGCAGTCACATGAGCAGCAAATTATACATAACACTGGAAAGAAATAATTTTGTTTTTGAAGATAACATGCACTCTGCCCACAAGATAAAAAGCTTTTAATCACTGCAACAGGTGCTCCTTTTAAAGGAGAGAGAAGACATCACACTTCATCTATCAGCTCTGGTTTCAAGACTCCAGGAAGGAAATTAACCCTACCTTCCGTCCTTTGCACCTAGGCTGGTTCATTTGTCTTATTTTTTTTTCTTTTCTTCATTGAAAAGTTAACTTTATTGTTTGGGAAGTAGGAGCTTTTAACACGATTGGGGAGTGGAAGATTGTATAACTATTTGTTCAGAACCGAAATTGGGATACATGTTGTAATGGTTCATTTTTCTTTGACATTAGCAGAAAGTTTCTTGCAAATCCATGAACAGCAAAACTAAGTTATTCCAAAATATTTATATTACTACCATTCACCATTATTTCTTTAAGTAAGGGTAACTGAGGAAGAAGCATGCATTTTTCAGACACCATGTTATTACGATTAGTTGTGTGTGTGTGTGCGTGCGCGTGTGTGTATGTGTGTGTGTGTGTATGTATATTGTTCTGCCCTATTAGACTGTTAGCTTCTCTAAAGCAAGAATGTGTTAAGTCTTCCAAGCAAAGCTGTTTTCACATGGATGCATTTGAGTATGTAGATTTTAATGTATAAATGAATATAGATGAAAAACTTTCTTCCACAACCTATTACAAGTTACTTAGCAGCAAGAGATTTAATTTCAAATAGGAAATGAAAGTTGATGCTTTTCAGAAAGTCAGGCTTATCCCGTCTCTGAAATAAAGAAAGATCAAGAGAAAAAGGTGGGACCCACGATCAACAGAGGGCCATATTTTGCCCCCAAGTCAGCCAATTGCAAACTAATATTTAAACCTGTTTTAAATCTTAGATGAAAACACATAGCTAATTCCAAGTCCCAAACCCAAAAATGTTTGCTCTTACAGCTAACCATACCCTTGGGAGCTTCTGATATTCACTTGCAAGTCAATAAAAGTAACTTATAAAGAAGTGCTAAAGATAAGCCAACCTTCCCACTCTAAGGTGCCTATTTTCTCTGAACTCAGAGAAAATAGCTGACACCAATTTCTTCATACAGAGCCTTTCATCTAAGAATTTCAAAATACTTTAGAAAAGTAAATTATTTCTCCTAACCTACTTATAAAGTATTACTAATACATTTTACAGGGATTTCTCAGGAGATAACAGCCCACACAATTTGCTTGAAGCAACAGAACACAAAAAGACAAGCATCATATTATTAAGGTGTGATTTCCAGTACTGAATTCACTCTATGCTAGGTCCCTGTCCCTAAGAAACCTTAGTAATACATAACTTAAATCAGCCTCAGAAAGAAGACATACTTGCATTATATTCTGCCTTCTTAAATCTGCCTTTGGAGCACAAGGTTCAGATGTAGCCTCAAAGTAAAAATTTCATGTCTAATGTCTTTCCCTAATAATTTATAGAATGGGAATTTCTACACTTGTGAATCCTTAAATCACTAAACCGTGACTTTCTAAACTAAGGTCAAATTACTGGTAATCCTATATAATAAAAGCCTAATATGCAAATTGTCCCCTCAGGCAGTTCAACCAGGAGTTTGACCACTCGCTATGATACACGCCGACCACCAAGGGGCGGTGCAGAACATGGCAGGCATCAGCGATGCAGTGCTGGCAGCGGGCGGCAGTGGAGGTGCTGCCAGCCCCAATGGGTCCCGATGAGAGGACTGAGGCAGGATGGTGGAGCAGGTGAGCAGGTGACACCAGGCCAAGGCAGGTGTGAGCGGAGGCCCGATTGCCTTGCCAGTCACCCCACAGATGGCGACCAGCAGTGGCGTTGGGGGGCAGGGCCACCGCCTGACTCCCAGACCCTGAAGGAGCCAGGTGGGGGCCTGGCCCTGATTGATCACCCAGCAGACAGGATGGTGGAGCGAGGGGGCGGCGCCATGAGGCTGGGGGTGTGAGCTGGGGCGGGAACTCCACAGGCCACCCCAAGGGACCCCACCTGTGCAAGAATTTGTACACTGGGCCTATAGTAATTATATAAATGACAGCAATACACAATTGCAGTTATACTGGTAAACTTCTTTATGACTTGTAAAATAAAGCAAAAATGCATTAGTATTAGTTTAGGCAACCAATGACACAACTTGGCCTCCAAAATAATTTAGCTCCTTTTCTCCCCTTTTTCTTCTGTCAGGAGTGGCTCTAAGGGCTCAATATGGCCCTCCATTTTCTTTCTTCCTTTCTTCAGTTTTCCTTCCTGCATTCTTTTTCAGTCCCTTTGCTAATAATTCAGGTTCATTCTTTCCAAGCATTCTTGAGCTCTGTCCCACAACCCCAGCACTCAACACAAACATGATGGGATGTATGTCACAGATCACAGGTCTTTCTGGCCAAATAAATAAAGAACTCACACAGTGCACACTACCTTTTCCAGTGGGATTTTACTTCAGGATTAATCTATAACAAATAGATGTTTAAGAGTTGGAGTCCTGCACTCCAACAGATAAGACTTATTCTGCCTCTAGCTACCTCCCTAATAATTTTGTTTCTTCTCTCATAGCAGCTTTTCTCTCCTCATCCTGCCAGGTAAAAGTCCTATTTGATTTGTCAGAGTAGCAGGATGCTAGGATACTAGGTATAGTTTCTTTTTCTTTTTAACTTCCTTTAAGGTTATGTTTCTGGGTGTATATTTTTGCTTTGTTTGGTTCTTTAGACTAAAGGTAAACTGTGCTATGATCAAGGCAGATATGTGTTTTTCAAATGGGTTTCTGAAAAGACAATGAACGGTGGAAGAAGGCAAACCTGGGTTCCAATCTTGACCTATTAGCTATTACTGTTATCTTAGGCAGGTTGCTTAACCTCAGGCTCCAGTTTCCTCATTTGTAAGATGGGAATACTACTTCTTACATCATGAAGTTATTATATGTATTAAGTGAGAATTATGTGATAGATTTGACAGTATTTTCAACTGTTGAGTACTTAATCAATCTTAAATTATCCCAAAGGTAACAAATGTTTAATAAACATTAGACATCAAATAGAAAAAAAAAATCAAACCAGTAGCTTCACTCCTTGATGTTGATTTAGGAAAAGAAAAATGTTTTTAAAGGTTAAATCCGTAAGGAGGAATACAAAAATATATCCCATTATAACAAATACCAGTGAAAAGAAATTTGATATATAATAAAATTTTAAAACGTAAGGCTTTAACTAATGTAGTGTGTATAGTACTTTGAAAGGTAATCCTATCTACTAAATATTCTGAAGCAGGTCCACAGAGTCTGAGACGATATGCAAAATTATTTATGTATATTTTTCCCATGAATGGCTCCTTGGATTTCAGCAAATTCCTTTAAAAACACAGTATCTGAAAGAGGTGTTGAATAACTATTCTATATTCAAATAATACTGCTTTATTGTTAATGAAATAAAAGATAAAATGACAGTTGAGTCCCACAAAATAATCTGGAGCCATTCCCTGAAATATTTCACAGTATGTAAAACCTTCACCTTAGTCTGTGGTAGAAGTCATACACTTAACTGACACTTAGGAAAACCCAGTGGCAACAGACTTGCCAAGCCTCAAGAACTAATGTAAACAAGGGTGTGACAGAGGAGAATAGAGCCTTTCAGGTTATAAGAGCAATTATCAGCTCTCCTGGGACGCCTCAGTAGTCAGCAATGACCAGGAGCATAGTTTTCCATAGACGAGGGTAGCAAAGCACTGGCTATGTGGCTTTCCGAGGAAGCGACCTAGAAGGAACTCTGCCCTGGAGGCCTGGGTTCAAATCAAAACTAGTGCTTTGTTAGTTTCCACTTATTTTCTTCAGAGTTTGAGTTTCCTCCTCTGCTGTAGAGAGGGGTTGTGACTCTATGTAAAAAGTCATACACAAACATTCGTTGACAAATGTATTTTAAAGTACACACTCTGCCCTACAAACTTGTGTTAGAGATAACAGAATACCTAGCTAAATGACGAAAACACAGGTGCTCAATAAGTAGCAAAATAGACATAATGTGAATTTCTTCTCAACTGACCTGGACACACCTGCAGACTGCTGAACAGTGTTGACTGGTGGACAACACTGCTATCATACAGCTCTTTAAAATTCTGAACTGCTTTATATGCTTCCTAGACCAGTGATGGCGAACCTTTGGAGCTCGGCGTGTCAGCCTTTTGAAAAACCCTAACTTAACTCTGGTGCCGTGTCACATATAGAAATTTTTTGATCTTTGCAACCATAGTAAAACAAAGATTTATATTTTTGATATTTATTTTATATATTTAAATGCCATTTAACAAAGAAAAATCAACCAAAAATGAGTTCGCGTGTCACCTCTGACACGGGTGTCATAGGTTCGCCATCACTGTCCTAGACTCTCTCCTGAACATCTTAGGGCTTGGTCTCTGACAAAGATAGCCCACCTTCACAGAAATCAGACACCTTGTACCTAAACACCTCACTTAAGTGAGCCCTAACATCATTCATTCAACAAATATTAACTGAATGCACATTAGGTAT